CGTGTCAAGCGCTCGGTGGTGGTGCCCACGGACCCCTGGTTCTCCAAGCAGTGGTACATGGTGAGTGGGCCGGGCCGGGCGGTGGGGCCGGGCGGGGCCAGAGCCCCGCTGACCCCGGCCCCTGCCTTGCACAGAACAACAAGGTGCGGCCGGACCTGAACGTCCTGCAGGTCTGGAGCCAGGGGCTGTCGGGCCGGGGCATTGTGATCTCTGTCCTGGACGATGGCATCGAGAAGGACCACCCGGACCTCTGGGCCAACTACGTGAGACCGTGGGGACTGGGGTGGGGGCTGCGCCAGGTCCCGCGGCCTGCCCCCGTCCCTCACGCCCCCCGCTCGGCCCCCAGGACCCCCTGGCCAGCTACGACTTCAATGACTATGACCCAGACCCCCAGCCGCGATACACGCCCGGCGACGAGAACCGGTGAGCGGCGGCATCCTGCGGGGTGTGTGAGGGCGGCGCCAGTGCCTTGTGGGGAGCCGGGGGGGGCTGGGACTGGCCCCCCTCTCTGCCTTGGCGCCAGGCACGGGACCCGCTGTGCCGGGGAAGTGGCCGCAATCGCAAACAACGGGTTCTGTGGAGCGGGTGTCGCCTACAATGCCCGGATCGGAGGTATCGGGGCCCGGCTCCCGCACCCCGGGGACGGAGGGCGGCCTGGACGGCACAGGGCGCCCAGGGATTGCGGGCAGAGTTAGGCGGCTCTGGGGGATGCAGGGCCCAAGCTCAGGTAGGGGGAGAGCTGAGCCCCGCGCAGACGCCCCCGCTCCAGAGGGGGCCTGGGGGGGGCGCGGCGGGGCTGACCGCCGAGGCCGGACGCCCCCCCCTGCAGGCGTGCGCATGCTGGACGGCACCATCACGGACGTCATCGAGGCCCAGTCGCTGAGCCTGCAGCCGCAGCACATCCACATCTACAGCGCCAGCTGGGGCCCCGAGGACGACGGCCGCACGGTGGACGGCCCGGGCGTCCTCACCCGCGAGGCCTTCAGGCGAGGCGTGACCAAGGTGAGCCCACCCCGGGGGCCTCGGAGGGCCTGGGCCGGCCCTGGAGGCCGAAGCGCCCATCCGCTCCCTCGTGCCCGCGTGCAGGGCCGCGGTGGGCTGGGCACTCTCTTCGTCTGGGCGTCGGGCAACGGCGGCCTGCACTACGACAATTGCAACTGCGACGGCTACACCAACAGCGTGTACACGCTCTCCGTGGGCAGCACCACCCGCGAGGGCCGCACGCCC